CTACCTATCTATCTATCTATCTATCTATCTATCTATCTATCTATCTATCTATCTATCTATCTATCTATCTATCTATCTATCTATCTATCTATCTATCTATCTATCTATCTATCTATCCTTCTATCCTTCTATCCTTCTATCCTTCTATCTCTCTCTCTCTCTCTCTCACAGGAAAAGCCTGCTTGAAGAGAAAGCTCTTTGTCTGCTTGCAAAAGGCCTGCAAAGATGGGGCCAGTCTGGCCTCCTGTGGGAGGGAGTCCCAAAATAAATTAAATGATGTGAGTTGACATGGCCCATTTTTATTTGGCTGCCTTCCTTTAATTCTGTTTCACTGGAATTTCATAGATGACTGAGGACGGGGTGGTGAAAACAAAATTGGGAAGAATTCAAATAATGTATTGTCTAGTATTGAAAGGATAGTACTGAATGTGGGCAATTCATGGGCTAGGGTGGGGGCCACCTCAAGTCCAAATTTGAGGGCACCTCCCTAGTCATGAGAGAGAGAGAGAGGCAGTGCAGTATATCGGCTGGAGTGTTGGACTGGAACTTGGGTTCAAAAATAAAAGACAGACACTCTGACCCTCGCCCTGCCTGACAAAGAGTTGTACTGTGGAAAATGGTGAGGGTGGGGAGAGCCAGGTACACCCCCATGTATGAGGAGAAAAGACAAGATAAAAAAGTAAGCAAGAAACGATAAAATAAATGAATGAACTTGGTACTTAAAAATCCAGGTTTTAACAGAATGGGTACGGTTTGGTGGAAACAAATCACAGAATCATGAAGTTGGAAGGGGCCTCTTAAGGCCATCAAGTCCAACCCACTGCTCCTTGCAGGAATACAAACCAAAGGAGACCTGCCAGCTGTTTGTCTAAGTTCCTTTTGAAATGCCTCCAGTGTTGGAGGGCTCACCACCTCTCGAGGTCATGGGTTCCGTTGTCGTACTGCTCTAACAGTCAGGAAGTTTTTCCTGCCATTCAGCCGAAATCTGGCTGCCTGTCACTTGAGCCCCTGGGTTGCATATCCTGTACTCAGGGATGATCTAGAACAGATCCTGCCCCTCCTTTGTAGGACAGCTATCACCCCGCCCCCAATCTTCTTTTCTCAAGGCTAAATATGTCCA